CGTGCAGTGCTCGCCGGAGGCACGGGCCGGGCACGACTTGGGTGTTCAAGAGGCGGAACTCTGCCCCTCGAGAGCCGGGCATCCCCTCCGCCACCATGGGACACCCCTAGTCTCCCCCGAGAGGTGGGGGGTCGGCTTGCACCCAGACCTCGGAAAGTGTCTGTATTCCGCCTTCCTGAGCCGAGGGCCCTCTGCCCGCCTCTTGGTTTCCTTAGAGTAAAGGTGTAGAGGGACCGGCTGAGCCTGCGGCTGGGGATCCAGCCCCCTTCACTGGAGAGAGGATTCCTCCACTTGGGCTCCTCGGTCCTCCTCCCTTCTGGGACCTCCCCCCCCACCCCCCATGGTCCCGAAGCTGGTGAGGAGCACACTTTTCCCGGGTCGCGCTTCCCTCCCTCGCAGAAACCGTGTGTGCCCTGCACGTCTGACTCCGTTGCGCTGTATTTGGGTAATCTCCCTCCGTTGCTGCAGGGCACGACTTCCGAGATGAAGAGCCAGCCAATTTGTAGGGGTTTCTGCTGTGGCTCTGTAGTTGGCCAGGCTTCTGTGTAATTGCGTGGCCAGGCGGGGGTTAAAGAACTATATTTAGAATCTGAGGGCTTAGTCGGGAGTGAAGGAAATCCAAGATTTACTGTTGTGATTTCGGAAAAAGGAGTGATGTAGACAGGAATCCTCGTGTGTGTGTGTCCCCCCCGCCCCCCGCCTCCCCGATTCTTTTTAATTTTTTTCCCTTGTCAAATATTGACAGGTTGAGACGGTGCTCGAGGAGGGACTAAATTGAATGAGACTTGCTTTTATTATTAGGTTAAAAAAAAATCTCTCTCGGTAGATACTGAGTGCAAAGCTTAATTGAACTGCTGAGTTTTATGACAAGGAGATATCCATGACACTCTTTACACTCTTTTGCGCAAATGGATTGCCTTTTCCTGGTTTTCTTTCTAGATGTTAATGGTGATTTATTGAATTTTCCTAATAGCCTCTTGGGTGGAGAAACTGGTCTAAACCTATTGCTGGGAAGGGAATCCCCCTAAATCAGAAGATGAGCTGTCCTCCCTTTTTGGTGCTGAAACTTGCCATATGCAAAGATACAGTTATATCTTAGAATTGTTAGAGTTCACATTGCTGATTTTCAAAGAATCTAATCGCGGGGTGTAAAAGTGTATACTCTATATCAACTTGCACTTTAAATTCTAGCCATGTTTTGAAAATTAGTAGAGTAGTAAGAGTGAAGCTTAATAAATTCCAAAGTATGTCAACTGACCATGGAAATGAAAGGTCATAGATGTTTTAAAGTTAAGTCATAGAGATTTTTTTAAAAATTGTTTATTTAAGCTTTCCCTAATAGTTTTACTTATCAAATCATTTTACTTGGGTCAAGTGACATAGTTGTACAGAATACTTTGAAAGATTTGGCCCTTATCCATATCCCTACAGTACAATAGGACTAAGATTGATATGCAAACCACTAACAATGTATGTAATTATTTTGCTAAAATTGTCTAAATAAATTACCTGTGCATAGGAGGGCTAAATGTAAAAGGAATCCCATATTCAGATGGATTAGGAGCAAATGTGATTACCTGTAGGCAGAATTTAATACATTTACCAGAGGTTAAGTAGAAACTGACATTTTTAAGGGTAGTTGAAACTCAGTGGCAACCTTATAAATGAAAATGTTGCCCTGGCCAGGTATCTCAATTGGTTAGAGCATGGTCCCCATATGCCAAAGTTGGGGGTTTGATCTCCCATCAGGGCACATACAGGACTCAACCAATGAATGAATAAATAAGTGGAACAACACCTCTCTCTCTCTCTCCCTTCCCCTCCCCTCCCTCCCTCCTTCTTCTCTTTCTCTCTAAAATACAAACCAAATAAATAAGAAAATGTTGGTTGGTGAGGATGAGGCTCTTGAGCAGAATATGAGAAGCCTAGGTGGAATAGGTATGGGGCATAGGCAGAATGTCAAGGAGAGAAGAGAACTTTGCAGTGGGATTAAAGAGAATCTGGAGACACTGTTACATGTAGTTTAGGGGAAAAGTCTAGGGTCAGGAATAAGGATGTAGCTGAAGGAAAGAAGTAGAAGTTGCAGATTTGGGAGAAGTGGTAACAGAGGGTAATAATGGATTTTTGAAGTCAGAAATAACTCTGAGGTTTTTACTTGAAAAGTTATTAATATGAATATTGTCTACTATGATGGAGCCTGGAAACATGGAGAAGAATCAGATGAAAGGGCACCAGCCTTCAGTCTGCAAGTAGTGGATTTTATTACAAACAGCTTAATATTTATGTTCTTGATATTCCATGTTATATTGTGCAAAAAAACCCCCTATAATAATAAAGCTATGTTGTGCAGTTTTTGTGTCTTGTAGAACTTCAAATGTTGCAGTTTTACTGTGTGAAATTACTCTTTACTGGACTTAAGCACTATGATTTTATACTTAAGAACACTGAGTTCAGATACCATATTTAAAACTGATTTTATGAGTTTTAATTTGCAGCTCTCTTTAAAGGTGAAGGACTTATTTTATAAAATATCCTCTGCATGGTTCATAATAGGGATTTTATGTATTCTCAGTGGCAATGTTATAAATGAAAATGTTGCCCTGGTCGGGTAGCTCAGTTGGTAGAGCATTGTCCCCATGGCCCCCATGGTCTAAATCTGTTTTACAGAGGTAGTAGAAAGTATTGTCTACCCAAGCACACATGTGGTAGTATTGTTGTGAAACTGTATTGTAATTTCTAAATTTTTAATTTTTGTGTGACATTTTAAATTTTCTATTGCAAGATAATATTTGTACCATGAAACTTTTCATCTTCTAGATGTTTTTGTAATCTTCAGCTCAGCTATGAATTTGACAACTATAGTATACATTCTATTGAAATGTCTCATCAAATGAATTAACTATTAGAATTTTAAAAATATAGTGGTGGGAAGGAAAATATTTAGTAAAGGCATTTCTTTTTTACTTGATATTTTGAATTATTTAGGGCTTGGAAATCAGATGATAATAATATAAATGGATATTTTAGCTATATTAATTAATTTTTATCAGAAAAATTGGGAACATTTCTGTATATAAAATAGGTTATCATGGAAACATTTTATGTTGAACATTATTGACCATCTCTAGGAACAATATTGTTGTCAATAACTATCTTATGATGATTTGCTATAAATAAAGTATTATAGGTCTTTGGTGACATAAGACCTAGTTTTCAATATATCTGTTTCTAATGTTCTCTACTTCTATTGTTGTTTATAACAGAGATAAAAGATTATAGGATGGATGAATAGCATGAGGAAAACAAACAAGTATCTGCTTTTTCAAAACTGAAAGAAGATGTGGGGCAGATGTAGGATTTTTTTTTTTGGTAGCTATAGTAGTAATTATACTAGTACTTACAGTGAGTCTTAATAATTACATACAAGGGTAACTATATTTTAAATGTGTCACTTTTCACCTAATTTTTTCTATTTCTAATGAAGCTGTTTATCAAGGGAGCATACTAGTTCTGCTACAAAAGTTTCTCTGCAATATCAGGAAAATAATGAATATGTGTGTGGTTAATATAGAATGAGACAGATTATGTTCCATTGGGTATTTAATATCGTATTAGCTAGCCACTGCTAATGTTTGCTATCAAAGCACTTAGCTAAAGATGATAATTCATTACCTGAATTTTCACTAACAGTGGCGTGGATGAGAAGTGATGCAAATATTTAGCAAAGGGCATTTTAAAAACTAATACTTTTTCTCTAGTAACATACATTTTTATTGGGCTAAGCTGTAGATTTATAATCAGTAAGAGTTATTAGAACAAGATATGACTAGACAATAGAGATAAAAGACTAATTGTAAACTAGAACACCTAAAATATTAGTTACTTGTAGGGAGTATTTCAGCCATTCAAAATATTAAAAAACCAAATTCTAAGTCAAGGAGATGATAATCATGTAACTCTGGACTTGTTCAAGCATTTATTTTATTGTGTTCCTTAAGCTTATACCTGTGCATTATAACTATCTGTGTTGTATTTTGAAAAGCCCATTTATTGATGAGGATATCTAAATATATCTTTATTTTTAAGTAGCCAAATTACTATTGCAAACAAAATCTAAATCCTACCAAATGGAATTGTGTATTCTGGCAGACATATCAACATTGATCTATATGACTTTTGTTAAAAGGAAGCCTATTTCTTAAACTAGGTTGTTCTTTCATGAATTTTGGATTGGAAGCAATATATTAGAGAATTAAAATTTTAGTTAAAGTAGAAAATCATTAAATCAACACTATCATCACTGGCCAAAGACTTTATAAACTACTAGAGGCCTGATGCACGAAATTCGTGCAAGAGTTGGTCTTCCTTTCCCCAGCTGCCAGCACCGGCTTCCCTCTGGCACCCGGGACCAGGCTTCCCTCGCAGCCCCGGCTTTGTCTGGAAGGTCGTCCAGAAGGATGTCTGGTCTAATTAGCATATTACGCTTTTATTATTATAGATGGGTACATAGATTGTTACACATTAAGAGTTTTAACTATATTAAAAACATATTTGACTTTCACTTTAACTGAGATATATGGTGGAGAATCAGCAATATGT